ACGACCTTTGCGATAACTTCAATATGACAATTCTAAACACTGGGGAAGTAACACGAGTGGCCAAACCTCCAGCAAGAGAAAGTAGATTAGACCTCTCCCTCAGTTCGAGTTCACTATCGTTGGATTGCTCGTGGAAAGTAATTCAAGATCCCTACGGTAGTGACCACTTGCCAATCAAAATTTCTATTACCAATGGTTCATCTTCCACTCGCTCGGTTGACATCGCGTACGACCTCACGAAAAACATCGACTGGCAAAAATTTGCGTTCGCGGTTCTCGGTGGTACCATAGAGGTAACTCTAAGACCGCTGGGTCCCGAAGAAAATCATTATTATTTTTGGCTCACTCAGTACCAGAACAACGGTCCCAAGCAGTCCCAACACAAACGAAGTGACAGACGGAGCGGCTCGAAAACTTTGGTGACTAACCTGCTATTTCAATTTTTCAGTGTACCACATGGAAACACCACTACTACTGGATTGTACCACATGGCAACACTACTATTGGATTGTACTAGCATTTTCACCAAATGTATTGGAATGTTTTGGTTCTATCTCTTTCACTCTACTCAAAACTGAAATGCATAAAAAAATTACAAAATGAAACACTCTTTGCACTCTGTCAAAGAATCATTGTACACAAAATCAACTTTGTTCAAATCAAAACAAAAAAACTAACCCATCTGGTGGATGATGGCACAAGCTTTCAAGAAAATTCTATTACACTGAACCACATTATTTTAATGGATTTCTTCGCCAGTTAGTCGTCTGTCACTTCGTTTGTGGTCCCAAGCTATTTCACTCACCCCTGCATTCTGCATGAATCCACATACCCCTGATGTTATTTGTCAAACTTTCATAGCGAATCAAAACAAACATAGTGTAGTAATAGAATTTCATCTAGAATAGGGTACGTTAATCGTTTGCTTGGGACCAATAGGCTACTAAAGTGGTGAGCCAATTTAAAATCGTTAGTTTCGTATTGATTGTTGGTGGTACTGATTCGGTTGAGATACTCCCTCCGCTGGATGAGTACTCCTTTTTATCGCGACTTATCGTTGACTGTGCTCTTCAAGCACAGACGAAACGCGTTCCGGGTGTTTTCGTTCGCAAACGACCTCTCACTCCGTGGTGGGATAAGGATTGCACCGACGCGAACAGCGAGAAGTCCGTCGCGTTTAAACGCTTCCGCAAACACGGTAAGGTTGAGGATTTCGAGCGGTACACCGACCTCGAGAACACTTTTAACGGCTTGATTAAAGCCAAAAAACGCGGTTACTGGCGTCGGTTCGTCGATGGTTTGTCGCGCGAGACTTCCATGAGAACGCTCTGGAATGTCGGCAGGAGAATGCGAAACGCGTCATCACCGGTCAACGAAGACAAGGAGTACTCAGACAGTTGGATATTCAGCTTCGCGCGGAAAGTTTGCCCGGATTCGGTGTCGGTTCAAACCAACGTTCGTGATCGTCCGTCGGGTAGTAATGAAATAGATTCCCCGTTTTCGATGGTGGAATTCTCACTTGCTCTCCTCTCATGTAACAACTCAGCTCCAGGAATGGATAGAATCAAGTTCAACTTGCTCAAAAATCTCCCAGACGTCGCGAAGAGACGCTTGTTGAACTTATTCAATCAATTTCTGGAGCACAACATTGTTCCGGATGATTGGAGGCAAGTAAGAGTTATCGCCATTCGAAAACCCGGTAAACCCGCGTCGGATTATAACTCGTACCGTCCCATCGCGATGCTGTCCTGTATACGGAAATTGTTGGAGAAAATGATTCATTTTCGACTAGACCAATGGGTCCAGTCGAATGGTTTACTTTCAGATACGCAATTTGGATTTCGAAGAGGCAAAGGAACGAGCGACTGTCTTGCGTTGCTTTCAACTGAAATTCAACTGGCCTATGCGCAAAAACAGCAAATGGGTTCAGTTTTCTTGGATATTAAGGGGGCTTTTGATTCTGTTTGTATCGATGTCCTTTCGGATAAACTCCACGATAGTGGGCTTTCACCAATTATGAACAACTATTTGAGCAACTTGTTGTCTGAGAAATATATGAGCTTTTCTCATGGAAACTCGACAACTTCACGAATTAGTTACATGGGTCTCCCCCAGGGCTCATGTTTAAGCCCCCTTCTTTATAATTTTTATGGAAAAGACATTGATGGTTGTCTTGATGAAAATTGCTCGCTAAGGCAGCTTGCAGATGACGGCGTTGTGTCCGTTATAGGACCAAGTGCACCGGACCTGCAAGGACCATTGCAAGATACCTTAGACAATTTGTCTACTTGGGCTATGAAGCTGGGTAACGAATTCTCTCCGGAGAATGTACCTTAGACAATTTGTCTACTTGGGCTATGAAGCTGGGTAACGAATTCTCTCCGGAGAAAACTGAGTTGGTTGTTTTTTTCTAGGAAGCATCATCCTGCACAGTTACAGCTTCAACTAAAGGGTAGAAAAATCACTCAAAGTATATCTTTCAAGTATTTAGGTGTCTGGTTCGATTCCAAAAGCACGTGGGGAAAACATATTGCGTATGTGAAACAAAAATGCCAACAAAGAATCAATTTTCTTCGTACAATTACTGGAACTTGGTGGGGAGCACACCCGGAAGATCTGATCAGGTTGTATCGAACAACCATCTTGTCGGTCCTAGAGTACGGTAGCTTCTGTTTTCAATCCGCGGCAAAAACACACATCCTGAAGCTACAACGGGTTCAATACCGTTGCCTCCGAATCGCACTTGGCTGTATGCACTCGACGCATACGATGAGCCTCGAAGTACTCGCGGGTGTTCTCCCACTGACAGATCGTTTCGCGGAACTGTCCTTCCGGTTTCTTATCCGTTGTGAAGTAATGAACCAATTGATAATATAAAACTTTGAGAAGCTGCTCGACCGAAATCCTCAAACAAGATTCATGAGTTTGTACTATGAGTACATGACGCTGGAGGTTGGCCCTTCTTCATTAATCTCCAATCGGGATTGCTTTCAAGCCTTCTATAGTTCCTCTGTAAATTTTGATCTGACCATGATGCAAGAAATCCATGGAATACCAGATCACCATCGGTCGATGGTTGTTCCCTCAATTTTTGCAATCAAGTACCACCATGTAAGTAACGATAAAAGATTTTTCACAGATGGGTCAACCATAAATGCTTCCACTGGATTTGGTGTATTTAATCAATTTCATAGCGCCTCTTTTAAACTGCAGAAACCATGCTCAGTATACGTTGCGGAACCCGCAGCTATATTTTACGCAGTAGAGCGAATTGCCTCACTACCTTCTGACCATTATTTCATTTTTACGGATAGTCTTAGCTCATTGGAGGCTATTCGTTCAATGAGGCCGATGAAGCACTCCTTGTATTTCCTGCCTGAAATACGATCTAAACTGAGTGCTTTATCTAACTGCTCCTATACTATCACCTTAGCTTGGGTCCCATCTCATTGCTCAATTCCGGGTAATGAGAAAGCGGACTCGTTGGCTAAGGTGGGCGCTATGGAAGGCGATATTTTTGAGCGACAAATCGCCTTCAACGAATTTTTCTCCATTGCTCGTCAGCAAGTCCTCATCAGTTGGCAACACAAATGGAATGATGGTGAATTGGGAAGATGGTTACATTCTATTCTCCCACAGGTGTCGAACAAACCATGGTTCAAAGGGTTGGACATGAGCCGCGACTTTATACGCGTTATATCAAGGCTTATGTCCAATCACTGCTCGTTAGACTCGCACTTCTATCGAATTGGGCTCTCAGACAGCAATTTATGTGCGTGTGGCAGTGGTTATCACGATATCGAGCATGTTGTTTGGTCGTGTACCCTACACCGTGTTGCCAGATCTGATTTATCCACATCCCTCAGGGCCCGAGGAAAACAACCCGCGATACCCGTTAGAGATGTCTTGGCGAGCCGAGACCTTGACTATTTGAATTTAATTTATGTGTTTTTAAAACGGATAGATTTGAGGATTTAGAAGTTAGTGTCATCTTGTGTTCTCCCAAGTTGTTAGCTGCCCATCGGTGTACCCCCATGTTTGTCTTTTTCATCAGAGTGTCGCTTAGTTCGAGATCAAGAGCACATTGCTCTCCAAACCTTGTGTTCACAATCCCTACCCTGCCATCCATTTGTTACAATTTGTCACCCCTAACCTCGAGACAGCCGCGAGTAATCGGCCCCGCTTTACTAACGATAGTTTTAAGTAATTTTGTAATCTAATCAATGAATATTGGCTCCGCAAAGCTATAGCAAATGAGCCTGGAAAAATAAACGCATTATATATAAAAAAAAAAAAAAAAACCGTGAAGCGAAATATTTGCAATATTTCTTAATAATTCGGTTCAATATTTAAATCGAGATTTAAATAGAGTGCAATTGCTTTTGTGAATTTTTTTTATACAAATAAATGCTCACACACATACACTAAAACAACAGGAAGAGGAATATTTCGTCTACACAGCAAAAAAAGTTGTTGAATATTACATCGAAACTGCTGCAACCAGGTCAATCCATCGGTTGTGTAATATCACATTATACGATGTACATCGACTTTGCGAACAAAATTACATCCATTGATGTAATATTGTATCTGCTTTTTGCTATTACATCATTATTTCATACATCAGCTTGAATTACGTTGATCGATATTACATTTTTTTTTGCTGTGTAATAGAAGATTATAAAGCATAATTCAAATATTAAAAAAAAATCGATTTTACTCGAATCGATTTTTTTTCTTTCGATATTTTAGAGGATCGATTTTATAGTCAGTTTTAGAATCGATTCGACAACATCGATTTTTTGTTTCAAAACCCCCAAGAGCCTATTCACACTTTGAAAAAAAGGGTGCTGAGTTCACAGCTTTCTGAAAGTTGCCACTAGTTTCCACTTGGTGGCGCTGCGGTGTTCTAATCTACCCGCAGCTGAAAAAAAGGGTGCTGAAAAAAGGTGGTCAAAAAAGGGTGCTGGAGAAACTGGGTGCCGAATTCACAGAAGTATCTTGTCTTGTGCTGCTGGGCGAAAAATGCTGGAGTCAAAAGTAATATTGTTGATATTTTTATACTTGCCAAACTAAATCATTATTTTATTTTAGAGGAAGGGCTTGAACAAGTTGAAGGACGATTTGGAAAACTGGAGAGAGATACTATTGATTCTCTATGATTTATCTCAGTGGAAACTTCCTTACAGCCCGGTTATATTAGGCAGTACTATTTCCGTGTTTTATCTACTTCTGTGGTGGCTTGACTTGACCATCATTACCCAATTTTCTATTCTTCTACTATTGTGGATTCTTATCAACTTTTTTTATCCGACTATCGCGATAGTTTTCTTCAAACCCGAAAAATGGACAGGAATTCAGGAGAAACAACTGGAGATAGTTATTATTACGATTTTGGATTTAAGCGAATCTGCTACTGAATTTTGGAACACTGTTTTCTGGGACAAAAATAACAAGACAATGGCGGTAAGTTTAGCACCTATTTAAAAGCCCAATTATTGCGCATTTCTCATAGAACTCTACAAATACCCGCGTTTACCCTTATCGAAAAGTGTAATAAAAGTGCGAGTAGTTCCCGTGTAATCGTCTTGGCGTTCGGTGCACTTATTCCTTGCCTTCCCGCATAAATGCAAACCTTACAGAACATGGTTAAAAATTGTGGATAATCCCTGCTAAACTTTAACTCAAATGGTTGTGGAACTTTACATGAACGTTTGTGCGATAAAGATTTAACATTGTATATGATGGTTTTTTTTTTGGAAGTGGACCTTACAAATAATACTGCTGTTAAATAACCACTTCATTCGAGCAGCTAAAATGACGTTTACTACCACTCGAACTTTGAAATAAAACATTATTTTGAGATTTTTTCTTCTAGAACCTCGAGAAAAGTAGTCAAAATTGATGCGTTTCATAAAAAAATAGAAATTAGTTTGTCCAGTTTTGTGAAATCGCTGGTAGAAAGTCACGCCAAAACTGCTTGACAAAGTGGTCAATTGTACATTACCACCAGAATGGGGACAACTTGCATGCAAGTGCGCGAGCAAATGCAACATTATATTATTTTGTTCGCGCAAGAGGAAGAGGTGACAATTGGTTTCTTCCTCTTCTATTTCTATCTCTATCCTACGCACATGAAATCGGCCAATCAGGAGCTGGTTCAAGTTTGACAGAAAAGTGGTTCATTTTCGCCCCCGTATTGTCACCTCTTCTCTTAGGCGCAAGCAAATTCGCTATTCCAAAACTACCCAAATTTGATTCCACCCAGATCGGTCAAAACTGAACCTACCCAAAAATGGGTAAACTATGTTGGCAGTGACAAGTTGACATTGACATGAATTCGATCGACTTTCAGGGTGGCAAGTAAACCAGGAAAAATAATAATTTACAGATGCATGTCGTTCTTAAATGATGACGTTACGTTTGTATCCCTCACAGAATTTCCAGCCGAATTTTATGTATGGGGCGGGGCATAAATTATCTTTTGCGCAGAATATGTAAAAAAGGAGGGACTTCAAATGTTAGGTATCAGATATGTTTTGTAGTGTCAGGTACTCTATTTTGTAATACAAAATACATGGCATGTTGAGAGATTGAGCTCGTGAGAGAGAATTTCTCTCTCAAATTTGAATTTTTTGGCTCTCTGGGGACTGGTAGTGAAGCAGGTAAAATTGTATGGGGAAAAATCATTTTTATTTAATTGTAGCTTGTTTAGCATTAATTTCCGGGAAAAAACTGAACGACAAAGCCCCTAACTAATTTCTTTAGGTTGTCGTTCACTTTGTTTGCACCGAAAGCGAATTATTTCCACTTCTCTCAATTTCTATATGGGGATTTTTATCACTTCCTACGAGCGGAACAGCGCCATCTCTGTGGAAAATGGTCGAACAAAATGATAAATTGTTTATTGCACAGGAGTCTAATTTGGTGCAGTTTAGAGGGAATATATACACACACACACACACACACACACACACACAAGAAAAACGGAGAAAAAAACAAAAAAGAAGAAAATGAGAAAACCCAAAAAATATGAAGGACGACGGCAAGACGCCAGAAATTGAAAACGGAGGAGCGAACGTGTTCGCAAGGAGCGGGATATTGCAGAGATCACCAGTGTTGAACCTGGAGGCAACAGCGAGTTCCAACAGCAGCAGTAAGCCCCAAGGTGAGCAGCAAGGACACCAAGGAGAGCTAGGTCTTATGCTAAGCCAGGTGTTCACACCGAAATCCAGCAGTAGCACACCCCAAGAAGGATTGCAGCTTGGGAAGACCAAATTGATGGAGGTCAGGAGGAGGATCAATGAACTCCATGACTTCATCAAGGATAAGAGCAACGTCCACAAGGCAATAAAGGAAATGGTGACGGGCATCAAATCCGCCATTATTGCTGCCGAACGTGAACAGGATGCGCTGAGGACGAGGTCCGTAACTGCCGAAAGGGCACTGATCGAGGCCAAGGAGAAAGCAGCAGCTGAAATACAGGAGACGCCAAAGGGACCTCGAAATCCACGCTCGGAGAAGAGGAAAAGGGAAACTCCAGGAGAGGAAGAGGAGTTGAAAAAAGTCAAGAACGACAAAGAAGACAACAAGGAGGAAGGCTGGCGTACCGTCGAGAAGCCAAAGGAGAAGTGGAAAAAACGGAAGGAAAAAGACATGAAGAAGAAAGCTGAACAGAAGAAGGTGATACCCAGGACTCGTCGGGAGCGAAGTAAGGGCGATGCTCTGATCGTCGAAGCTAAGGACAAAACGTCGTATGCAGCACTCCTCCGGAAGGTACGAGAGGATCCGGAGTTGAAGCAACTAGGAGAGAACGTGGTGAAAACCAGGCGAACCCAGAAAGGCGAGATCCTCTTTGAGCTGAAGAAGGATCCTGCTATCAAGAGCTCAGCCTTCAAGGAGCTCGTCGAAAAGTCTCTTGGCGAAGGGGCGAGCGTAAGAGCTCTATCCCAGGAGACAGTGGTCGAGTGCAGGGACCTGGACGAGATCACCACAGAAGAGGAGCTAAGAAGTGCGTTGAGAGTGCACTGCGATCTGGGAGATGTCCCGATGTCAATCCGCATGAGGAAGGCGTACGGCGGCATGCAAACGGCGGTTATACGGCTTTCAACAGCTGCAGCGAATAAGCTGTTGGAGACGGGCAAGGTCAAGGTTGGCTGGTCATTGTGCTCGCTGAAAGCCACTCCTCGGGTTACCAAGCAATTGGAGCGATGCTTCAAGTGCATGGGATTCGGTCACCAGGCGAGGAACTGCAATGGCCCTGACAGATCTGATCTGTGCAGGAAATGCGGAGAGAAAGGCCATATTGCAAGAGGCTGCACGAAGCATCCGAGGTGTATGCTCTGCAAAAAAGAGGACGGTAACGATCATACGACGGGAGGCTTCAAATGCCTAGCATACAAAAAGGCGATGGCAGGCCAACAGTAATGGAGGTAACCCAAATAAACCTCAATCATTGCGACATTGCTCAGCAACTGTTGTGGCAGTCGACAACAGAAACAAAGTGCGACGTTGCAATCATTGCGGAACCGTATCGAGTCCCTCCCGATAACGGTAACTGGGTTGCGGATAGAGCTGGGATGGCAGCTATACAAGTTATGGGCAGATACCCCATTCAAGAAGTGGTTGCGAGCTCATACGAAGGCTTCGTCATCGCCAAAATCAACGGAATCTTCATGTGTAGTTGTTACGCACCCCCCAGATGGACGATTGAGAAGTTCTACGAGATGCTTGATGGACTTACCGAAGAGCTGGTCGGACGACGACCGGTAGTCATCGGAGGAGACTTCAATGCTTGGGCAGTGGAGTGGGGAAGCAGGTGTTCCAATGCAAGAGGGCACAGTCTGCTGGAAGCTCTGGCAAAACTGGAAGTTATGCTGGCCAATAAAAGCACCAGCAGCACTTTTCGCAGAGATGGCCGAGAATCCATTATCGACGTTACTTTCTGCAGTCCGTCGCTGATGGCAAACATGGATTGGAGAGTGTGCGAAGGATATACCCATAGCGACCATCAGGCGATACGATATGGCATCGGTCAACGGAATACTGTGGCAGTACGGAGGACGAGAACTTGTGACCGAAAGTGGAAGACGAAAGCTTTCGACAAGGATTTGTTCGTTGAGGCACTTCGTGTGGACGGGAGTCCCGTAGATCTAAATGCGGACGAGCTGACAGAAACGTTAGTGAGAGCATGTGACACGACCATGCCGAGGAAACTGGAGCCAAATAACAGACGGCGTCCAGTCTACTGGTGGAACGAGGCACTTAGTACTCTCCGCGCTAGTTGTCTCAGAGCCAGAAGACGTGTTCAGAGAGCAAGAACGGAAGCAGACAGAGAGGAACGAAGAGAAGTGTTTCGAGCGGCCAGGGCCGCTTTTAAACGAGTGATTAAGCAGAGCAAGTCGAACTGTTTTAAGGAGCTGTGTCAAGACGCTGATGCCAACCCCTGGGGCGACGCATACCGAGTCGTGATGGCGAAGATCAGAGGTCCAACGATGCCCGCTGAAATGTGCCCAGAGAAGCTGAAAGTCATCGTGGAAGGACTTTTCCCGAAGCACGACCCAACAACCTGGCCACCTACACCGTACGGAGAAAGAGAGGGAGATAGCGTCGAAATCACCAACGAGGAGCTCGTAGTAGTGGCGAAAGGATTGAAGGTGAAGAAAGCTCCCGGTCCGGATGGAATCCCCAACGTAGCGTTGAAAGCGGCGATCCAGTCATCCCCGGACATGTTCAGGATGGTGCTGCAGAAATGCCTGAACGAGGGTCACTTCCCTGACAGGTGGAAGATACAGAAGCTAGTGTTGCTGCCGAAACCAGGAAAACCGCCGGGGGATCCAACATCATACAGGCCTATATGCCTGCTGGATACACTCGGAAAACTCTTGGAGAGGATCATCCTAAACAGGCTGACGAAATACACGGAGAGTGAGCACGGATTGTCGGAGAGGCAGTTCGGATTCCGGAAAGGGAGATCGACGGTGGATGCAATTCGGACAGTGGTCGAGAGAGCTGAAAAGGCGTCCAAACAGAAGCGGAGAGGAGATCGATATTGCGCCGTCATAACGATCGACGTCAAGAATGCGTTCAACAGCGCCAGCTGGGAGGCCATCGCCGAAGCACTGCATAGAATGAGGGTCCCTGACTACCTGTGCAGGATCCTGAGGAGTTATTTCCAGAACCGGGTTCTGGTCTACGAGACAGACATGGGACAGAGATCGATTAGGATCACAGCGGGAGTTCCACAAGGCTCCATCCTTGGTCCAACGCTCTGGAACGGGATGTACAACGGCGTGCTAACGCTGAAACTGCCCAAAGGAGTTGAGATCGTTGGCTTTGCGGACGACGTCGTCTTGACGGTAACAGGCGAGACGCTGGAAGAGGTGGAAGTGTTGTCAACCGAGGCAATCGACATGATTGGTAACTGGATGAAAGGAGCGAAGCTGCAAATAGCCCACCACAAAACG